CCTTGGAGCCATGCTGCTCTGTTTTGCTTGAGTTGCGAGCTCATGTTGGTTTTCGAGCAATATCTACCGATCTGTCTCAGGTTCGTGCAGTTGTTTAGTTAAGTGAGACAAGCATACCAGAATCGAAAGCCGCCAGAAGCAACAATCCCTGAACCTACGCAAACCACAACCCCGGGCTTTGGACCCAGTGAGGTATATCGCTTATGTAGAACAACCAACCTAGGTAAAGGTTACATATGTCTATATATATATATATATATGCATATACATGTATATATATATATATAGAAACCTCGAAGCCCTAGAAATCCCGAAGCCCCAATCAGCTCTGTAGACCTCGCAAACCAAGGCTTAGACATTCCTTTGGGTATAAATTAGTCCAATTCGTCTATATGTACATGTGTGTATAAATATATGTAGTATACAGGTTTAGAAAACCTAAGTATACTTGATATGGTTATTGTCACCCGAATTACTATTGAAAAACTATAGATTGATTCGGTCAATGTCGTAGCCGCCGCCATGGATGAGTGGTTCGATGAGCTCCTAGTGTTTCCAAAACGACAGACACCTGGCTTCGAATTTATGCCATCGAACAAATATAAATCATAACCCATTCCTGTGCGCACACTGCCCTGCCTCAAGGAAGACAGCGATCGAGCCTGGGAGCAAGACCGTGATGAGCAACTGGACTCAATTATATAGACGCTTGGGGATGGCTGCATTGAGGAAGGGGCACCCTGATCAACATAAGGCACCAGTGATGACAAATCTTCGGTTCATTGGAGATATCACAAGTACATATCTGCAGAGCTTCTCAGCCTACCAGACATTGCAGAGACTTGGGATGGAATCTTGCAAAAGAGAGATCTGCTGAAGATTACTTTGCCTGATGTTAAATCTGTTGGCAAGACACCTGGCAAGATCTTTGCCCATGCTGAAGCGATGGTCGAGATAGTGCCTCGGCTTTCGGCAGTTATGGTTAATACTGCTCCCGTGCCGACAATTGTGTCGAAAACGATTTGGACTTGATCTGCTGAGGTTCTGCAGTCTGTTGGTTGTGCAGTTTTCAAAGTGGGCTTTACCCATGATCCTGTTCGGCGGGTGGAAGGCTACTGCGACGAAGGATATCATCGGATGCATCTGTTGTACATGTCAGCAGACAGCACGATGTGCAAGTGTTTGGAGGCTCATTTAATTCGGTTGTACAGACGGCGACAAGGTTGCCATAATGATAACCCTGGTGGCGAGGGGCCAGACCACTTTCCTTCAGCCTACTTCGTGTACATTGCAATCAAACATGTGCTCTAGTCGAGATCTCCGAGTGTGAAAAAGATCGATTGCAGAATCGTTGATGTCAGTCGCAAGCATGCATGAGCAAAGCACTGCCATCGACTATAGGTTTGCTTAACAAATGCCAATCTCACATCCGCTGCTGAGGCCACTGGGACTACTATCTCTGGCTTCGTGCGGGCTGCAACTGCTGATCCCCGACGCTCCGGTGACTCCCTGCTTGATGGGCTAGCGAAAGCTTCAGAAAATCGGCTAGAAGATACAGGGCATGAGCTGCGACTAAGCTGCATCCACATCATCAGATCATCAGCTGGAGCTTGCTCTTGATGAAGTCCGCACCAGGATCCCACACAACCCCTTTTAACCCTGCTCAGATAATACTAACACAATTGAAGCACCCTATACAAACCCTATAGCCCTGTATCTATATATAGTCTATATATTTATATATAGATTCAATAGTCGATAAACACATGTATATATATATATATATGTACACATAGATCGAGATTATAGAAGTTCTAGGTCGGCTCTTCAGCCACGTTCCGGAGAGGCCAAAATAGACCATGTAAAAACCCTTACCCAAATCCTAAACCCCAACCCGAAACCTATTAGACCCAAAACCACAACCCCAAAACCAAAACGTCAGGTCAAAAGGTTACGACCCTTAACATCCCTAGATCCCTTAAGCCCTGCAGTACCCCATAAACCTAAAACCGATGTAGACCCCTTAAAGGATCGAGCCCTTAAGGATCCCTTGTCGGAACCCCTCTAGAAACCCTTACAGCGGACTCCCTCTTAAGCACTCTACTGCTGCCCAGGGAAGTTAAGGGATGCCGGGTTCTCCTAACGTGTTTCGTTTCGAGTTGTCTTTATGGTTTTTCGGGTAAGTTACTAGTAAGTCGAGACTGGGGTTGTGTAAGGTGTATACATGCATGTGTGCTAGTCTAGATTCTATAGATACATGTGCATGTGTCTAAAGTGTGTATTATGGGTGTCACAAGCCGTATGAGATGAAGCCTCTTCCTGCCTTGTAAGAACACTTTAAACCTTTGTGCCAGCCTTTTCCGAGCACTCAGGTTTAAAGAGTTTGGCCTGGCACTGGATGTTCCGATCTCCTATGTCAACGTGGGGGACAGCAACTGTGACCTGCCAATGATTAGACCCAGCGATTTGTTTCAACACCTTGCGGACCTGGGCAAATTGGACCTCCTTTTCGGCCAACAGCCAGCAAGTGTTTTACCTGAATTCTGGAGTCGTTTTCAGGAGGTGGAGCCAAACAATACTGTTCATGCTGCCTTCGCTGCTGGTACAATGCACCCCGATCGAACAATACCAATGGTCATTCATGGGGATGAAGGCCGTGGAAGGAAAAGACTTCCAGTCATGGTAGTCAACACCCATGGCCTGATCGGTGCAGGATGCAAGGCCTTCCATGAGTTTCACAAAGATGCACCCAGAATGCAGGAACAGGCTATGCCTGTAAACATCAAGGGCCACTCGATGGAGACACGCTTTCTATCATTTGTACTGTCAAAGAAATCATATGGCACCGACTGCTCATACTTGATGCGGATGTTCGAAGCACTGGTCGAGGATCTATGCAAGCTTTCAACAACCGGGATCCAGATCAAGTCGAAGTCTGGTGTCGAGACGTGGCATTGTGCATTTATTGGAAGTGTTGGAGATCTACAGTTTTTTGCGAAGGTCGCAAGCCTCACTCGGTCCTATACCCACGTGAGCAAGCGCAGTGGACAGCAAGCAAAAAATGGGCTCTGCCACCTTTGCCTTGCTGGCAAACCTGGCTGGGACTATGAAGACTTCAGTGACAATCCTGCTTGGTTGCGGTCTGTTGGGATTGAGCCCCCCTGGGAGAGCCCTCCGGATTTGATCTTTCGATTATTCCACGATCCTGGAAATGCTGGGGGGTTCCTGAAGCCAGACCTCTGGCACTGCCTGCACTTAGGGTGTGGAAAGGTGTTTCTCGCCTCTGCTCTGGTGGAATGGCTCCCTTTTCTGCCAGGCCTCCTGCCTTCAAAGCCATGGATTCTGGAATAGTTTTTTCTCTATGTGTTTATGCTGGTTTTATTCAGGTTCCCCAGAACATAAAATTAGTCTATTTGGGTGTTTTCTTTGTTCGATAAGACCCTTAAGAGTTTTCCAAGGGTAGTCGTTTGTTAGTACGTTTCCTGGAAAACAAGTTTGGGTCGTTTCAGTGCGATAGGGTACAACAAACAACGCTCAGGAAACAACGTCCAGGAGAGGTTTGCATATCTGGATGAGCACGCGCAGGCTTACCTGCAGCGACATGGTCAGAAACTATACTGTCGGCATGTGAGCGAGCTGAGCGTTGGTTTCGACTCTTACCAGAAATGCCCTCAAGGAGCTTGGCAAAAAGCAAGCGATACAACATTGCTTCTGGAGATTTTCGAAGACTTCTGTGAGAAGCATGCTTCAATGGCCTCCGAGGATGCCATTTTGGGTTGGACGTATACTGCGGTAGCCAACCTGAATGCCTGTATCCGTTTGCTATACAAGAGTGGGCTGTGGATGACACAGCATCAGGCGCTGGATGCTTCATCTACAGGCATGAACTTTTTGAAGTGCTACGGCCACCTGGTTCATTTGACTTTCCAAGCGAACCGCGATCGGTTTCCAATCACTCCGAAGGTTCATTACATCCATCACTTGTTCATCGACCTGAAGTCCCAAGCTCGGGCTTCCGCCTGGACATTGAACTGTATCGCCTTCACGGTACAGATGGATGAAGACTTCGTGGGGGTGCATGCAAGAGCTTCAAGACGTGCAGGTGCCCAGTATGTCTCGCTGCGGTGTTTGCAGCGTTATTTGCTGTATGCAGGCGAGCGAATCACTCCCGAGTATCGCCGAACCTCTTGAAGTCTGGAGTGCATGTGCATGAAAATTCCGACCGGATCGTTCGAGGGATTTCTGCTTGCAAGGGCTCAACAACCTTTCCCAAACGTTTAAGGCAGGCTTTTTGTAGACCTTGTGTGGCAACGACTCAATAGCTTTTTCCCAGCTAGACTGACAAGACTCCGTAGATTCATCCCAGGCCTTTGAAGAAATACTCAACAGCTTTTCCCAGACTTGAAGCAACGGCTCAATAGCCCTTTCCCAACCAGACAGTGTAGCTTCTTCCCAGGCCTTTAAAGAACGACCCAACAGCCTTTTCCCAGACATTTAAGCAACGATTCAATAGCCTCTCCCAGATCTGTAAGCAACGACTCTACAGCCTTTGCCCAGGCCTTACGCAAGGATTCCATCAATCAATGTCTCAAATGGGGCAGACTCAGATCTCTAAGCAAACATCATGTTTGGATTGCATCATGTAACATCGGAGATTCCCAAGGGTCTATCTCGGCATACTTTTTCCGGCGCCATGGTTTATTCAAGGGTGTTCCGCTGTTTACTTTTTTTGCGACGCAAGGAAATTCTACGCCGAATCGGCGGAATAGAAAAAAGTATGCCGACGAACTTACTGGTACTACTACTCCTCCTACTCTTGCTCTTACTCCTGCTCTTGCTCTTGCTCGTACTCTCAATCTGACTCCTACTCCTCCTCCTCTGGCTGTGACATCTGGGATGGCTTGAGTAATCTTTGCTGAGCGATTCCTGCGTCCTCAGTCCCCTAAGGCCTGTGCTCTTCGAATGCTACGCACTTCCGCTAAACTTTCGCGCCAAGTAGCTTGAGCTGGAAACACCATTTGCGTCGATCTTGGGCTTTGAGGCATTTTGAAACACCTCCGAAACTCTGTCTGAGCAGTCGCTGGTCTTGATTATAGTTGCAGGCCGGAAAGTCAGTAGGTCGGGGCTTCTTGCGCTTAGAAGTGCGCATAGCCACAGTGCATGAAGCACGTGAAAGCTGGAAGTTCGACATTCTGCTTCCTACTTTCAGGTCTTCTTGCTCAAAGCTCGGCTCGCAGTCCCTGCTCATGTGCCAAATGGGTTATATAATGGGCATATAGTAGCTATATTAAGGGCATATGCCTGATGGCTTTTCCGATTCTACGAAGCTGTTGAGGGGCCCTGCAGTTGAGTTCTGGGCGAGCCCGAATCACAGTTGTGTAAAACAGCCTCTGTCTTCAGAATAGCCGGATGCCAAGGCGGACACTCATCCATGCGAACACGCATACACACACGCACAAACCCATTCAGATGCTTTGCAATTTTATGTCGTGCTTTGACTGACAACTCCGAGAAAAGAAACCGCGGCCGCGGAGCGACTATGGGTCCAGGCGCCGCGCACGGACAAGATGATATCTGAAGCAACTACGACGGCAAGACTTCAAGAAATATCGAAGAGAGGCCCTGGTCGTGACTTCGATTATACTTATATTATAATTACATGAATATTACAACAATATATTCCACGAAGCATAGGGCGCCCTTGCCTCATCCAACAGGAAGACCCGGGGCAGCGACTTGTCCAGGTAATACGCGGAGAGTTCGCTCCGCAGCGCTGGCAGCTTCTTCACGGCCTCTGGTCCCTTCTTGGCGGCCTCTGCCTGAAAGCACCGAGGGATATCAGAAAAGATCGGGGCTGGATGGAAACAGCTGTGGATGTTGTGCAAGTGTACATCTGCATTTTGTACATGATGCCATGTCAGTCGGGCCTTCTTGTTGGCGTCCTTCTCCACGTCTTGGGGTAGTTCGGCAGTTGCCTCACATACTGCACATACTTGTCTAAAGCAGAGCTACGTTTCCCCTGCCGTGCCTCGTTGCATTAATGCAATCGTGCCTTCTCAAAAGAAACGTCTCACTACGAAGATGGCACTTGCTGATGCATATACCAGTGCGATGGCGGGCGGCAGCAGCTGCAGTTTCTTCCCTTGACTAGAGCGTGCTTGCTCTTGCCAGCAGCAGTATCTCTACCATTGCTTCGACTCTTGCACATTGAGGCTAGTAATTACCCAGACCCTGGGGAGGATCTAGAAAGTAGAACTCGTAAATCGTAGCCAGTACAGCTAAAGCGTACCTTACAGCACATCACGGAGGAAACCTCTTAAGAAATGTAGGTTTACTGATAGGGCGATAACAATTAGAAAATTAGAAAGGGGTCTCGGCTATAGAATACTACAATTATAGGATACTATCTTGGTAATTAGCCTGGCCTCTGTAGCATCTGTTGCACCTGGCTTTACTGGCTCGGCTATGTGGAAGGGGCCTCTGGCAAGAGATCCATACCCCCAAGGCACTCTCTCGATGCCCACGCGGCACGTGAACTCCAGAAACTCTTGCTAGGAAGCAGATACTGATTGAAGGTCCGAATCCACATGCTGCTTCACTTCTCACGTGCAATTCCCAGGTTGGGCCTTTCAAGCAACACAAGGGTCCGCGCCCCAGATTTACGGTGTAGGGGGGCACCAAGGGAAGGCCCTTTCTATATAGTGATTCTAGTGATGTCAAGCTGCAGGAGTAGAGCTCCAAACATCGATCCAGCACCAAACCAGCCAGTCGCAAGGGGCCTCCTCGCCTCAGGAGCCAGATTACAATGGACTCTCCTGCGACACCACTGAAAAACACGCATCTGCACACGTGTATGGAAAAAAATCAGACAGTCCAAGAAACAGAGCCACGGGCAGAACCTTTGCAAGTTGTGGCCCACTCCCCGTACCCGACACACGTAAAGGTCGAGCAAACAAGCAATGAACACCTTGTGAAATCACCGTTTACTACGGATAGCCTGAGCAAGTAGCACACCCACCTGAAGTCGGCGTTGTTGAGGCTGCTTTGACAAAGTCAAAGTTTCGGCGGAGTCTTAAACTCCGCATTAAAACATGTATCCCAATGAGTGGCGGGCAATTGAGGAAAGGCCAGGAGGCTAAGGCTGGGAGTGGGGCTGTAAGAGAAAGTTGTTATAAGTGCACACCATATGTACTAGTAGTAGTAGTAGTAGTAGTAGTAGTAGTAGTAGTAGTAGTAGTAGTAGTAGTAGTAGTAGTAGTAGTAGTAGTAGTAGTAGTAGTAGTAGTATTGCTGGGAAAAGACGTGTTGACATCCATACCTCCGGAAGTCTGTGAGGAAGATTCTTGCATACCAGGTTGCTGTAGGTGAGCAGGAAATTCGCCAAACTCGGGAGGTGTGTGTTGTTGAACAACTTGCCGATGAAACCCAGGCCTGAAAAGGAGGCCATAACCCAGGGGTTGCCAATCAAGGACCTTTCGAGGGCACTTCGCACAAAGGCAGCAAAGCTTGGAACCGGATGGACATCATCTTCCAGTTGCATATAGTACTCCGACATGTTCGATGCGTACCACATCAGGAATGTATAGTCCAGATTCTGCTTTGTCCGCCACCAAGTTCTCTTCGGGCTGTCACCAAACTTGAGCAGCACGCCCTTCTCATTCACGAAGTGCGACAGCTTGACAGCAGTGGCCGTGATCCAGTTACCATCCAACTTCTCCTCCCAGCCTCGCACACTCTCGTCCTCCACGGTTGTTCAAGCGACCAAGTGCATGGGATCTCGACTAAAGTCTGCTGCGATAAAGACGATATCGCTTGGGCTCGAAAACAGGATTCACACTCATAGGAGAAACAGAGCCCAGGGAGGTCAATCGCACAGCTCCCAAATCCCGAACAAACTCTGAAACTCTGTGCGGCCTCCACCAAAAAGGGCTTAATTAGGCGGCTTAGGGCTTCGGGATTGTTTAAAGGGGGTATGTGTTTCAAGATGACGGCCGCTGTCCAGAACTTCCAACTCCTCTGGTGCTCGAGCACGAGCTTTGCAATCTCCTGGTTCAAGCCACCCTCACCGTCACCCATGCACCATACTAAAGCCATGGCAAACCCTTGCATATCACGCTATTCTGATCTCTCTACTCATGGTAAGAATCAACACATTTTTGACAGAAGTGATGACTAGAAGAACAATGTATTGTGAGCATACACACACACACACATCTCTATATATATATATATATATGTATATATATATATATCTATATATATATATGTATGTTCATATATGTATATGTTTATGTATATATATATATATATATATATGTACATATGTATATATATATATATATATATATATATATATATGTATATGTATATGTATATATATATATATATATATATATGGTCAGGCGTCTGGCGTTTCCCCCCCCCCCCCATGGTATGGTCGGGCTTGGCAATAGTGTAAGATGCTTTATAGACTTGGTGGAACGAAAAACCCGGATTTAGTATAGGTAGTAGTTTTGACCCATATATTATAGAACCCTACTGTAGATTCCTTATAAGGCCTTTCAATAGTAACGGCGGTATGTAGTCTCATTGTAGCAATGCATGCGGGCCTGTTGACTGAGCGGCCTCCACATCCTGCGACGCGACCAGCACCCAGCGCCGATGAACCACGTCTAGGCTTGCTGGCATATAGCCAACAGAACGCACTAAATATTTCATACTTTTCTGTTGATAAAAACCTAGCGAAAAGCTAAAACCAGGCTAGTCGTCAGCCCAGGCTCTGGTTCTTTGAACACACCAGACGAGGACGTACCTTAAGGCATCCCCCCGCTTCCTCCCTCCGAACGAAGGCAAACACGCAAAACAGCGCGGAGTAATGCTGACAAGATGCATGCCACTGGCAGATCTGTAGGACACGCGATCAGTTGCAGCATCCGCGTGTCTAGTGTATCTCTCGTTCAGTTCAGTCTGCTTAAAGCCAGAAAGTCGGAAAGCTTCCACATTGGCTTGTTTCAGCGGGTAGATATCACGCGGCGCATGTATGACATGCAAGTCGCCCTCCAAGACTTCGTCGGTGAATCCTTCATTCAGCTTGCTGGCAGTATTCAGCACCCACTCCTCGTCGAAGTCTGCTAAATGCACGATTATCGCAGTTGCGGCTTCTTCCAGATCCAATACGTTGAACAGCCTGGACAAGGTGATCTCCAAATATGATGCCTCAGGGCTTGCATGGCGACATTGACATCAAGATTCTCTGTGTTTGCTTGATATTCTCTCGCTGCTTCTGTAGTGTGGTGGTGGCGCCTGCCATCACCTGTGCTGCTGCAGCTACTCCTACTCCTACTACTACGACTACTACGACTACTACTACTACGACGACTACTACGACTACTGCTGCCACTACCACCACCTCTACTGCTACTGCTACTGCTGCTGCTGCTGCTACTGCTACTGCTGCTGCTGCTGCTGCTGCTACTGCTACTGCTACTGCTGCTGCTACTGCTGCTACTACTACTACTACTACTACTACTACTACTACTACTACTACTACTACTACTACTACGGCGATGATTTTTAAATACCCGGACATCTAAACAAGTTAAACAGGTGTGTCATACTACTTCCGTGGGCATTGTCTCTGGGCCGCCCAATTTTAAACACACACGGAAAGACAACAACACGAGACTCCAGCCCGCAGACTCCGTCCTCCAACCTTCGCCTCTCCAGCCCTCTTCCCAGCCCTTCAGCCTTCCAGCCTTCCAACCCCTCCTGCCATCCAGCCAGCCTTCCAACCTTCCAGCCTTCCAGTTTCAGCCCCTCCAGCCTTCCAGCCCCTCCAGCCCTCCAGCCTTCCAGCCTTCCAGCGCCTCCATCCAGCCTTCCAGCCCCGCCAGCCTTCCAACCTTCCTCATCCGCCTCCACTTCATTCGCAGCGCCACACTGCGCAAGTGCCCCGTACCTTGCAAAATATGCCTGAGAATGACGGGCGGGAAGGCTGGAAGGCTGGAGGGCTGGAAGGCTGGAAGGCAGGAGGGCTGAAGGCTGGAAGGGAAGGCTGGAAGGCTGGAAGGCTGGAAGGCTGGAAGGCTGGAGGGCTGGACGGCTGGAAGGCTGGAAGGCTGGAGGGCTGGAAGGCTGGAAGGCTGAAAGGCTGGAAGGCTGGAAGGCTGGAAGGCTGGAAGGCTGAAGGCTGGAAGGCTGGAAGGCTGGAAGGCTGGAAGGCTGGAAGGCTGGAAGGCTGGAAGGCTGGAAGGCTGGAGGGCTGGAGGGCTGGAAGGCTGGAAGGCAGGAGGGCTGGAAGGCTAGAAGATTGGGGAGCCTGGAAGGCTGGAAGGCTGGAAGGCTGGAGGGCTGGAAGGCTGGAAGGCTGGAGGGCTGGAAGGCTGCAAGGCTGGAAAGGCTGGAAGGCTGGAAGGCTGGAAGGTTGGAAGGCTGGAAGGCTGGAGGCTGGGAAGGCTGGAGGGCTGGAAGGCTGGAAGGCTGGAGGGCTGGAAGGCTGGAGGGCTGGACGGCTGGAAGGCTGGAGGGCTCGAGGGTGGGAAGGCTGGAGGGGTGGAAGGCTGGAGGGCTGGAAGGCTGGAAGGCTGGAGGGCTGGAAGGCTGGAAGGCTGGAGGGTTGGCAGGCTGGAAGGCTGGAGGGCTGGAAGTAAACACCCGGAGCTAAAACATACGGATTAAAACAGGTGTCTCATACTACCTCTGTTTGGATCTTGGGTTGCCCGCCCCCCACATGTTTTAAAATTCTCACCGTATAACGACGACGACTACGGCTGACTACTATCAATACTACCACCTGCTACTGCGACTGCGGCCCCAACTGCCACCAGCACCGGCAGCAGTGCCACTACCCGACGACGACTGCGAAACTGACTGCCGTGCGGGCTGACGACGGCTCCAGCGAGGAGGACAACAATTGGATACCACATACTTGTGAGTATTTCAACCCTTGCTTCAGAAAAGCTCCCATGGATTAGCCTTCGGCCGCTTGATAGAGGACATGCCGAAGGTCAGCCAATGATGCCCAGTAGGCGCATTGTCCTTCCAGAAATCTGAAACATGTCGAGGGTTTTGTGCTCGTGGCTGCAATTTGCAATGTGGTAGAACAAAAATTGGGTAGGTAGGCCGGCAGCACCTGGCAAGACCGGACACAAGCTTTTCTGCGAAGCGCTGCCACGAAAACTCACAAACTAAATTGATCTCTTCATGATGTGCCGCAAAAAACCAGAGGAAGAGCAACCGGCAACCGTCTATCAAAGGGCAAGGAGGATGGATCGATGCCGTTGATGCTGCAACGTGCTCTAAAGGCAGAAGAGAAGCCAGGCTGCCTGAAAACCTTAACCGCAAGGCTTCAGGGCTTGGGGTAGTGCTCTGTCCTCTGGTCTCGGCAGCAGCCTCCTTGGGCGAGGCAGATTGTTCTACACCCAGGGCAACGAATGAGGGTCCCCTCGAGAGTTCTTGGTCATGCTTCACTCCCCGTTTCGAGCAACCCCTCCCATACAAACTTGCACTGGCCCAGCTCAAGTGTGAGTCCTCCTCCAAACCGGGGTCCTAGTCCTGAACTTGGGTTCACTATAAGGTGGTTACTTTAAACTTGTCAATAGCTAGGTATCAGAAGATCTGAAAGCAGGAGCGCGCCCCCCCCCCACCCCCCCGCACTTCCCGACAAGTCGCAAGGATGCCGGTGAAAGCTTGGCTAGCGGGTTGGCAATGTCTTTCCACGCTGTGGCTTCCTGCATGACAAGATGAGCGTCGGCTGCAAATGTGAACTCCATATATATCGATGCATCAAACCCTCCTTCCCCCAAAAAGTTTGGGGATTCATCAACCCTCCTTCTCCCCCCCCGAAAAAAAGAAAAGACCAGCAGGGAAAAAGGGAGCCCCCCGCGGCTTCTACCTCGGCCCATATCGGCCTCCGGCTCTGCCAAAACCCCCCCTCGGGTCTCCGAGCAGCCGCTGAAGCCCGGAGCAAGGCTCGCGGGCTTCAGCCGCAGCGAGGGAAAGCCAGTCTCTGCAGAAAGCCTCAATCCGGAAGCGTGAAGGAGCCGAGGTCTACAGATGTCTACAGGTCTTAGCTGCGACAAGGAAATGGCTTGAGTTCTGGCCTTCCTCAAATGCCTCAGGCTGAGAATCTGGCTGGTTCTGTTCAGGCGCCTCGCCATCCGGAAGTGGGAAGATCACGGCGAGGAACACCTCGAGACCGCTGTTGGGTCTGGCACTGAGATGCGGGAGCCTACACCACTGCGATGAATGATCTGACTGGTCGCCCTAAACGACGAGCCTGGTTCAGCAGCATCGCGCATGCTGCGAATAGAAGGCAAAGCCCACTCACACCTGCTGGCTCTGACAGGAGGCTTATGCAGACTTATGCCTTGAGGCAGCAGGCTTATGCCATCTCCTGCAACGTCTTCAGTGCAAACATGCTACCATGTCTTTCAATGCCTTTCTTGCTCCCAGGCCCCTTGGCAAGTGCCTGGAGCACGTGTCCCACGCTCCTTTGCCATGACCTTAGCAGTATATAAGTTGTGCAACCCGTGCAGCGTGATGACGGTTTCGTTCTTCTCGCTCCGTCTGTGAATTGCTTGTCTGATCTCGAAGTATTGAATACTGCTGCTGGCCTGGGCCTGATGTCGCAGCACCCTCAGAAGCGGAATTTCGCGTGGCAATCTGTCATTTGAGTAGTACTTGAGGCGAGCGCGAAGCTTCATCGACGACATTGCATCGCGAAGCACGTGTGCATCAGCACCGTCACACAAACTGGGAGTGTGTTATGTTGGTGTACTGAGCTTGATTGATACTGCAGCCGTGCCTCCTCCGCACAGGTGTATAACCCACATTAAGGAGCGTTGCTATACGATAAAACATCCTCGGTGTTGCTTTCTCCTTCAATCCCAGTCGGATGTAACATGCACCAGCTACCGTCTCCGTCTGAATAGTCGTTCGAAAATGAGCCAGTCAGCAGCATGTGCTGCTGGAGCGGAAGCATGAGACTGAGAAGCAGTTCCGCCATGCGCTGCAGATGCAAACACAGAGCTGCCAGGGAGGGCCCAGGACCTCTGCAGGAGCTGCCAGCAGCAACGGACCTCGGAGGTCTCGGTGCCACCAAGAAACAGAAAAAGTGTGGCTCCACTGCCTTAGCCCATGACTCAGCCCCAAGGTCCCCAAAGTCGTCAGATCCGATGGCTGTCTCTGTCGCCTGGATGCCTCACACAACTTCGATCCGGGAGGGGGAGGGGGGTGGGGTAGAGGGTTTGGGTGACGGACTTCGGCTTCGGAACCCGGAACAAACGACGATCGGCGGAAGTGCATCAGTGCCTGCGCTTGCCGGCATGACTGTCACTAGTACAAGGACTTTTGTGCGAGTCCTTGCCGTAGGGTCCTAGACGCTCATATTTCAGTGAACGGCACAGACATGTGGCAGAGATTGCGGCTTGGAAGCAAAGAAGATGACAGGGCATTACAACTGTGCAGGACTTAATCGTCCCGCATTACGGCAACATGGCGCCTATCTTTTTAGTAGCTGGCCTGCTACAGTGCCGACGCAGTGAAACAGATGCACAGTCAGATGCAGCAAACGCAGGCATTCCCAGCATGATGGCCATGACCGTCCGAACGCAAGGGTTCTGGCACTGAAAACACTGCTACTCCCACTCCATACTCGCGATGCCTCCACGGGGGCAACGAAGACCTGGGCAGACCTGGCGTCGAGCACATGCTTGAAGTTCAAAAGATGATGCCTTTAACGCGCTTTGGCAAAACTTGGCAGAGGCAATGTGATCACATAGCATGAAAAAAACCATGCCATTTGTAGTGATGAAGGCCCCTACATCAGCATCCCTAAGCGCTAAAGCCCTAAACTGCAGGTTCTCAACTGCTGAGACTCACGCGCCCCAACCACGGCAAGGCCCAAAACAGCGGCGCCCAAGCGCCTTGGCAGTTCTGTGTCTCACGTGGCCAAGGAATCTTGCTGATTATAACAATGTTAATCGTAATACCGAAAACAACCATAACAATAAATGGTATTATTAGTACGTGTATTGTATGTAAGTATCCTTGCATGTATGTTCAGCCATCACAATATTAGCCAGCCTGCGCCGATGTGGCAGCGGCCGCTGGCCTAGCTGGCTGGCCTGCAGAAGTGTAGGAGAGAAGAACACGATGGGGGTCTAGCAGTAGACCACTTCGAATCTCCCACCCTTTGACGCAGTCCTAGTCCTACGATGTCTCGGGCCTGCTGCACGTGCATGATGGACACCAGTTGGACTTTGGGCCTTGCCCTGGTGGCTTAAAAAACAAAACTGCGCAGCCGAGAAGGGCCGTGAGCCAAAGGAGGCAGCGAAGATGCATGTCCATGTGCCCTGATACCAAATGTCCCACCACCGCAACTGCGACAGTCAGAACTCCTGCACGGCCAGGGTACTGAAGGGGCCGTAAACGATTGGAATAGGGCTTTGGGGCCATTGTACTAGAAGTACAATTTAATTAGGAACCCCCGAAATAGTATAGGTAATTATCAAAATTAAGGCCCCTATATTAACAAGCTTCCTTCAAAGCTCATCCATCTTTTCCACCTGAAGTGCTCGCAATCAACTTCCAGAGGCCGCACGCCTGGGTCCTGGTCGGCTAAGCTCGGCAATCTAACATAACATGACATAATATAGAATAATGTTTTATCATTGGTCATGGAATATGTTATACTATTGACATAATATAGAACCATATGCTTTATCACAGGATATATTATATACACGATTATAAGTGCATCATAAGCGCAGTCAAAGAAAGAACTCACCTTCAAAACCAGTGCTGGGCGCTTGCCTTCAGCTCGGAGAAGTACTCATCTGATTGTAGATGACCGGTATGCCGACGACGATCGCAACCATGAGGCAGTACCTTGCTGCATCTCCTAGCAAGCTTGGCTCCCAAAACGCACTTCGATTCCCTGTGATGTGGCATGTCAAGGATCTGGGCGCCAGGCCTGATGCCCATGCTGGGACGGTAGCAGGCGTAGGCGACCTCATTGAGGTCTGAACGGGGCTGCGCTCAGACTCAATCCAGCTCAAAAGTCGTCACCTACTGTAGTACAGTAGAACCCGCGACATATTGTGGTCATTGACAAAAGGGGCTGTGCGCATGTTGCTTTTGCCTACAGTGCTACGGATGGCCCTCGGCCCTCGTGTGTTCGAGCCCTGTTCCAGTGGTTGTACTAGGTGGCTCTCCTTCGGCCTTGCCATCTGCAGCCTGCCGTGCTTCGGCAGACTTCAGAGCTGGGAGGAGGGGAGGCTTGACTAGTCTTGAGCCGTCGGATTGGTGGAGTGACTCCCGATTGGATCTTGACCCTTTGGACATCTTTCACTGGCGTTGCGCTTTCTTGCTGGACGGTTTTGATCTGCGTCCACGACGCAGATTGGCTATTTGGGACTTCGGTCACATATTTCAACCCACCTGGGTTCGTGTTGGCATAACGACATGATAACACGGGAGTAGCTGAGTAGCCGAATAACACAGCACGTGGAAGCATCCGGCTGTCTCCAAGGGAAAGGTTCGCGTAACAGCAAGCATAGGCTAAACCCACACCTCACATCCTATACTCCCCCTTACGCTTTTACCTCAATTCTCAGCCCGCCTCCCAAAATCAACCTTCCAAAACACAAAACACAAAGCACCTCCCAAAACAATGCAACAATCCCGAAAACAAAGCAACCCACCAAACCCAATACAATAATCCAAAACATAACCCAAAACCAAAGCACCTAAACAATACTTAACCTAATCCGTAAAATAGCCAATATCCTAACATGAGGTGTGGGGTAAGACCCTAATAGAAAAATCCCCAAAAGATTATAACCCTGTCAAGCGTCCCTTGAATGACTGACATGACATAGAATTATAATTACTGCAAAGAATAGTTATTATTGTATGTTCCCTTCATCTTGTTGCTTTTCCTTTCTCATAATAAAACACAATACCTAATATGCTCTCTCTTGGTCGTCAAACTTAATCTCATAATATTCTAATGTCTCCTTCTTTGGAAACTTAATATCTTTGTTGTTGAGTTTCTTAACATATACACTCCTTTTGTTCTTACCAATATTACTATCTTTATCCATTGGTTTTTTAACTGGTCTAGGCTTCTCTTCATTAAGTTCATTTACTGCTTTTTCAATTAGTTCTAACTTATCTAATATCTTTTGAAAGCGCGATGCCTTTGTTTCTTTAACATCATCTACATGACTCATCTTGCTATATAAAAGTTTTAGATTAAAACTTTTGTAAAACAATTAGTCTAAAATGCGTTTAAATAAGTAGTTAAATACTACATTTTATCATATGCTCTTTTGTATTTGTTCATATTGTCTAAACATCTCCTACATAGTTTGTTGTATTCTATGTTTTTGTTCCGACTCTTGAAGTAATGATGGTTTCTACATACCTTACAACTCGGACAATACCGTATGTCATCTAAATTACATGCGCAATGGCATTTATCATTAACATAAAACGATACAATGATTTCATCTACATATCTGACCATATATTTAATTGATTTTATAATAAAATTATAAAGCCAATTCCTTAATGCTTTAACGAAACTACTTAAGCACCTGCTTATGAGATGCTATTGAATGTTCCAGCATTACTTCCCTTTCATGCGACCGTCCAATGTGAAACGAAAGGAGCTGGGGTCTATCTTCCAAACGGCATACTCGCCCTGTCATCATTAAATACACTTTTATTCTTAAATATCAATCTTTTTTAGATTAGTTTTCAACATGTTAATATCTTTTTTAACCTCTCTCATATCTTCTCTTAATTCTTCTAACTGCTCTTCTGTTTCTTCTGGTGTAATCTGTTTGCCAACCCGACCAAAACCTGTATCGCATATAGATATGTCCCCTAATTGTGTGTTGTCGTTTGTATTTTTGAAGATTTCATCTGACGGAGTAACCCCCCTGCGTTATCCCATTGCAAAGGATGACCTGTCTTCAACAATTGTTATAACTTCTTTCTTTTCATCTTTGGTATGCTTTGTTTCTTTATGATATAAATGTTTTCTACATCTACATGAGAGACAATCAAGACTGGTAGGTGTTAATGAAAATCCACCCTCTTTTTCATTCTTATCGTCCATTTACATTATTTAGATTTGATTTTGAAATGCTTAACAATTGCTTTCATCACCTCTAACACACTATAACAACATCTACGATACTTAGGTGGTGTTATGATTTGTTCTATATTCTCTAACTCATTAATAATCACTACATAACTATTATAATCTTTCATATATTAAATAACGATTTAATTTTCTATGTGTTTATAATGATTGCTCCAATAGTTAAACCAGTAAATGTTAAAGAATATCAGTTTAAACAATCTAAATATGCAGTAGCACCTAAATTACCTTTTAGTCAAATAATAACAGGACCTTCAGGAAGTGGAAAAGGAATTTTAATACAATCAATGATATATTTTATATATACAGAGATGTCTTTGAAAGAATGTATATTTGGTCTCCTTCAATTTCAGTTGATAGTAATTGGTTGCCAGTTAAAAATATATTCAGGATAATTAAAAGATGAATTAAGAAAAGGAAAAATGTATGTTTGACGAGTATATACCAGAAGAATTAGAAGCAGTGATAAAAAAGACAACACAAGGTAATAGAATATCAGAAGAAGAACGACCGCAAGAAATTATTTTCTATTCTTATCATTGTTGATGACTTCGCCGACTCAAAAAAATTCTCTCGCAACAGTCCTTTATTAAATCAGTTGTATGCGCGCGGTCGTCATAACAGTATAAACATCATAACAGCAACGCCAAAATTTAACGCCTTGTCTCCAATTGTTCGTGCTAAATAGTCGTCAGTTATTCTTTTTCAGGTGAAGAAATTACAAGGAAATTGAAACAATGGTTGAAGAATTAAGCGCCGTCTTAAATACAAGATCAACCGTAGCAGATGCTAAAAACCTTGCAGAAGCAAAGAAGTTATTGTTAGAGGTGTATAACATAGCAACAGAAGAACCTTACAGTTTTTTATTCATAAATCTAATGAAACCTAACGTTAATGATATGTTTTACAAACGCTTTGATGCTAAATTAGTCATTGATTAATAATATTGCCTTATCATAATATTATTAATCTAAATTAATGAATACGAACGTAAATTGATAGCAGGTAGTTTATAAACTAATTTATCACTTTTTGTTTCTTCTAACTTTTCAATTCTTTCTATACAGTCTTTCAAAGTATTAAAAAATAAAATATCTGTTTTAGTTTTTTCATTAATATCTAATTCTTTTATCTGTTGCATATTTTGACTGGCACTTGATTTAGACGATTTAGCACCCATTAAATATTAATATTTAGATAAGTATATTTTACTCAATCATCATCTTTTATCTTCTTTTTAATTTTGTTATTTCGCTTTTTAAGTTTGTTATTTCTTTCACTAATTCTTGAATAGCACCATATAAAACAACTGCCGTTTTTGAATAATCAACTTTTAAATAATCTTCATTTTCATCTGCTTTCAATGCTATATCATATTCTTCTGGTATTCTTGAATGTTGCCAATCCTGCGCTACAAACCCTATCAACTTCTTTTCTTTACCTTTATAATTGAATGTTTTTGCTTTACTATATTTGGCAACATCTAAACATTTCTTCGTATCTAATTCTTTAATATTTTCTTTTAAACTGAAATCTGACACTTGCCCGATGCTTCCTGTGTATGAAACATCACCATCAACATATAAGTTATTAAATACATCGCATGTTGTTTCTTCTATTGTAAATTTGTTAGTATTATTGAAACTAAATAAATGTGCTCCATCTGTATCAGGATTATTGTATTTGACTTTTTCACTTGTTGAAACAGTGCCGTGTGTAATTTCTAAATTACCTAACAAATTGACTTTCGCATCATCTACTTGTAGTTCTGGTGTTGTTCCACGGGTTGAGAATTGAGGTAAAAGTGTAGGGGGGAGTATAGGATGTGAGGTGTGGGGTTAGCCTATGCTTGCTGTAACACCGTCCCCTGCCACTTCACGGATCCAAGGTCGTGGCTGCGACGACTAATGACCACAAAACAAGCGTCAGCATCAGCATGTTCACTGCGTTTGGCAGCCTGCAAGGCTGCGGCGAGACGATCAGCGGGCTGGCGTGCAAGGTACGCCAGCAGGCGCACTCATAGCTACTTGTGGCAGATGGTCGCTACTATCCTAACTTGTCCTATACTC